TGGCGCAATGCCGAAATGCGTTTGAATAACTCAAACAAAAACCCGCGAGTGGCCAAGTAGTGGCCGTGTGCTGGTTCAACATGACCTCTAATTCTATCTACAGTGCCCAAAGTTCATATGGAAAAATGTATTATATTATTTAATAAGAATATGGAGAGGACGACGCCGTTGTTTCGAATGTTTTTTTTTCTTTTTCAAGGCAAACTTGAACGCCTTAAAAAATCATATTGAACTATACACATTGCATGTAGATTAGGAGATCATCAGCAAACAGTATGTGGTTGCAGAAACATATTTTTTGTGGCCAGAAAACAACGGGGCTCAGGATGGAGCCCTGATGAACATCGCACACTACTGGAACCACGAGATCTCTCTGTCTCCTAATCATCGCCAGTTTCCTGGCATATAAGATGTTGTTTATATAGAACCGTTCAAAAAAATAATATTTTGCTTAGTAAAATGTTCTGAGGGACATAAACACAAATTAATCAACAATATTAATAGCTACATTTTATTCTGACTAGACCCAGAAGCAACCTTATGAAACTTCATTATTTCCGAATTGCTAAAAAACCCATACACATTCTCAAGTCATTCAAGCAAATTTCTGTGTTATTCTTTTTTTAATATAAACCACGACTAGTAATATTCAACTGGCTTATGTAATGCAGTTTGCGCTGTTTTGTGCTGTATCTTATTTAATTCTGCTTTTCCGTCTTCAGTGAAATTTTTTATTGCTAGTATTTAGCCTGCTCTCTCTCAATTTTTCAATTTTTTATATTTAAATGTGGCCATTAAAGCAAGTGAATCTATCACTTATTATTATTAGGTATGTAAGTAATAACGAAATCTTAACGTCTAACTAATCTTCTGATGTTCAGCTTACGAGAGGCAAAACGACTTTACAATAATACTATTCTCAATTGAAATAGGCTTGCTATTTCGATTATTATTTTTCTTGGTCACATCTTTTATAACATTTATACTGCTGACCTACTTATACACTCTAATACCATCATCATCACGTACGCGGAGATACCGTTGTTTTCCCCTCTAACTCGAATCCTATCCATGGTACCACCAACATCCAAGAACACCTGGAGCTTATGGAAGACTAGTGCAAAGAGTGGAGGAGATAAAGACTAACTGGATAACAATGTTCTCACTGCACTTCACATTAAAAAACAATCTTGCCCTTCACTTTTCATCACAAACATGAGATACCGACTTCAATTCAGGTCAAATGCTTAGGGCTACACCTAGATAGCAGACTAACGTGTAATTCCCGTACAAGACTTAAGAGGCAATGTTGTAACACAAGACTTGGACATCTAGGAAGGCAACTACGATAAAAGTACGTTTTGACCATCTACACAAAACTAACCTTACAAGACTTTACTGCAACCTCTTTGATCATACGGAGTAAAACTGTGGGCTATTACCAAGCCATCTAGGCATCCAATCTTTCCAATCTAAATTCCTCGGACAAACCATCAAATTTCGTTACTACGTCAGTGCTGTGAATGTGTGAAAAAACGTTTTATGATCACATATACTAATATATATATCNCGTGTGTATATATATATATATATACACGGTACAAATAAAATAAGTAAAAAAAATATATTTTTTCAAGATTCGAACTCAGAACCGCTAGCGTGGCATATAAATATATACGAGTTGGACGCGCTAATCACTCGGACACCGCGGTCCTTGATATCACAAAGTAATTATTACATATCAATTAAATTTCTAATTGTGCTAAATCAATAGCCAATAGTAGGCTCTCACATTTCTGCTCTTTGACATCAGTGAGTCGCGGAAATAAAGAGATATTACTTTTTAAGTGCTGTTATGGTGGTTGTTGGAAGCTACAGGTAGAACGGCCGAACTTGGACTTATTTATATTAATGTTAACCTCCCCAGAGGGTGGACTTTTTCGACTTGTTAACTCACTTGACACAACATCCATCTCGAGTCACTTGGGAAACATAAAAAATCATAAGTTCAGTCATATTATGAGAAATGGTTTATGTAGAGTGTGAAAGGCATTTGAATAAAACTGGCAAGCGTTGAAAAGCCCTCCAGTAAAAATAAATAACGATAATTCCGAGTATTATTTTCATGGAAGATTTGTATGTGATCTTCATGTACGTACTTTTAGAGTCGACTTTACAGAGTCGCACTTCTGAATGGCAAGAGGGTTGATATAAGAGGGGTTGGAAAGGTTGTTCAACAATTATGTTCCGTACATTATCTTCCCGATGCAGAGACTTTGTATCAAGTTGCGGGCCCACCCCTTCACTCCGACTCCCCTTTTTCTTTCTCCGCAAAACTCTCAGAGCACCTGTTCCCTAAGCACTGACAAACGAATTGAATAACTTCCTCACTGAAACTTCTTCAGGCCGACCATCCACACGAGGAATTCACATTATTTTCACGTCTCGTTGTCTTCTCCTTACTGTCTTGCGCAATTTATGAATATCTACAATTAATCACAGCTGAAAAAGCCAATAACTTAACAAACCTCCCAGAATATAACTAAAAACAATATATTTGCATAAATTTTAATAAAAATATAAATATTTTATATAATATAACCTAAAATACCAATAAGTTCAACTATTTTACAGCTGACATTTGCTAGACAGACTATTTTCCCAGTTCTGTTTTAAATATTAAGAAATCAACATTAATAAACAATATTTTTCGTTTAAATATTTATATTCGCATTAAGAAAAGTTTATATTACTAAAAACTATGATATTCACAAAAGGTTTCCTAAAAATTGAACATTAAAATTTTGATAACACAAACTTTAATTAAAGTACAGAATTTGACTGAAACACTAAAAAAAATATTTTATCAGCCCACACTGTGATAATTTCCCCGACAGGTGGAACCCTTGACTTTTTAAGGTTACAAGGTTCTCAACTCAGGCGTTTATCGATGTGTAAAGTGAGTGTTAAGCGCCACGTTGTGACGCTGACTTTAATAAAAATAAGTACGGGATAAGTAGCCCAACCTATAGCTACCTGGAATGATGACGTTTTCCCAAAATTTTCAGTCGCAAAAAGAATAATACTTCCGATACTCCTGCCGCTTTAATTGGATAAAACTAACTTGAAACTGTAACTTTGGTAAAAGCAGACATTCACACATGCACACTCATGTGCAGTCTCTCTCTCTCTCTCTCTCTCTCTCTCTCTCTCTCTCTCTCTCTCTCACACACACACACACACACACACACACACACACACACACACACACACACACACGAAGATTCACAGTTAATGTTTTGTCGGGAGTGTTCGCGATATTAAGATAGTCGCGGGGACCGCAGTGGCCAAGTTGTTAAGGCGTCCGACTCTTATATGCCACGCTAGCGAGTCTCAGTTAGAATTCCGTCTTTTTCTTTTTTAACTTATAATAGTATAAAATACATTCTAAAGTGGAATGACCCCTCATCCCAGATACCCAACCGGTAATTGGACGTAAGGCCCTCCTGTATGGCAAGAATTGTTTCACTTGCTTTAAAATTAACAACGGCTCACATACCATTTACCATTCAAACCACTAAAAAAGTAAAAAAGCAGAGGACGGACAGCAGTAATAAAAAAAAGCGGAGACTTGTTTCTGCTTATCCGAGGATACACATCGGAAGTCTGCATTGTCAAATGAAAAGCCATACCATCATTCTAGACTTAACACTTCCGAGGTAGTTCATCCGTTAGTTTCTGCCATAGTCCTTGGATGCGCTTTTCCACATGACTCTGTCAGGAATATATTCCTATTGAAAATAGGATTTATTACCTGATGAATCTAGGTTTTTAGCAATTTGGCATGCCTCAAAAGGTTTCAGGGTTGATAGGTGTTCTGATCGAATCTCTGTTCTCTACACCCTGATCTCAAACAAGGCTATTTTTGCTGTTTTGTGCAATAACTGACAGGACATTGATGCAATCCAACAAGCTTACAAATGCCCTCGCTTTTTAGTGTTGCCTGGCTGTCTAAGAAGATAGCTTTCTTTTTATTGTCAAAACTCAGCCTTTCGATTTACCTGGCACAGTATTCAATAGTAACCGTCTCTGCCGGAAAGACATTGGCATATTGTCAAAGACTCTAATTCTTGTCCTTACTTATATCTATAGATAGACCCATACCCAGTCTTAGAGCAATCTTTAAACCAAATATATTTAAACATTAATTGCAGCATCTTTCTCATAGTCTGCTCTATCTGCTTAATTGATATTTTGATTTAAAATGTCTTATTAAATCTACACTTTGTCATCACGGGGTCAAGAGCACTCCTTAGAACCTATGGCTGAAGTCCTCCTGATGCTTTAGTTCTCCTAAACTCTAATAGAGCTTAACTAGATGTATGCAAGGATTTAAAAAAAAAATTGTCCCAATGTACTCTACTGCTTTGAATTGAATTGAATGGGAAATAACTACCTTTTTATTTTATTTTTGTAATTTAAAACTAACAAATCTGACCTAACGAATTTTTGTTAGCAGTGACCAGTTTGGTCCATCTTAGACCGGATCGTCATTTAAATTCAAATGTGTTCGGGATCGTTTTCGTTTTTGGTTCAGAGTTTCTCTCTGCTGTTTTAGAATAACTGTAAATTTGTACTGCAATATTAATTTAACGCTGTTAGCGTAAGGTTAATTCGCGTTAATAATCCTCGGGATCCTTCGAGCGGACTGGACCAATCACGACCAATTATGCCAAACCTATCTGAGGAGCTGGCCAAATTAATTGACTTACTATAATTAATATATGTTCAAGACGGTATCACTGAGGAATGATGTGCATTAGTGATACGAGATAGGGTCCGACCAGATTGATTGCTTTCAACATGGCCGCTCCCCTTTAAACTATTCACCGTTACCTACCCAGCTAGTTTGCGCAAAACCAACTCAACTGTTTAGTTTATAGTCTAACTAGTTTAATTAGTTGGACATTAATTTAATGCTAGACCTGTTTTGATTTCAGGAGAACGAAACTCAAAAAACGAACAACGGTATCCAGTACAGGTTACAGCTCCTTTACGCCAACGGTGAGTGTTACTCTTATAATACTATATTCAATATTTAAACTAAAATTTTATTTTGTAATATAAAGGCAATTCGATTAGAAAGATTACAATGTATTCCTTCGTCGGGCGTCATCAAAACTATGAAACTATAATTAATCATAAAATATATGAATATAAAAGCATAACAAATTGTGATTTGATGTTCTTATCTGTTTCCCTTTTAAATTATTAATTCAAGTTTCATATTCTTGAGAGAGATGATATGTTCTTCTCAAGCTCGATAAACTGAATATTTTTGTGTTATTATTCGGAATGAATTTGTGACAAAACAAGAGTACGAGATTATTTGGGTCTGTCGAATCTGCTTTAATAATTTTAAATTGAATAATGAATTATTATGTTTTAATTTATAGTTCTTCGATTTTTACCCAAAAAATCGGTGGTGTAAATATTTTTCACTTGTTTTTTTTCTTGCTTCTACAAATAAATTCACAATGAGTTTGGAGAGGCGTCATATTAAATTTACAATGTAATGGTTATAATGTAATAGTTAGTCGAGTTAGATACAGTATTGATAAAACATGTTAAAACAATAGGCAGTTCTTACGGTCCCTTAAAAAAGAGAAGATAATAAATTTATCTTGCCTTAAAATTGGTTATGAAGGTTAATTTGTACAAAGCTAGCCAACTGCATCATTGAACAAAACCTTCTTTTTGACATTAATCATCTAGAAGTTCCATTTATCATGGTTCTTGGGACTGGAAGTACAGAAAAGTGTGGCTTAATTTTGTCGAAACTGTAACCAACAGTAAAATTTAACGAATTTTCTCTTATTGAAAGACTCCACAATCCAACCAAGTTTTAAATACTTGTAAATAACTTTCAATAGTTGATTCACTTTCAAAATACCAAATAGCAAATAGAAGGCCAAAACAAGACGCTTTTACTTTGAGAAAAGTAATAATTGATTTAATCTCTCATTCTATAATTAAACGAATAAAATGAGAAGATATTCTTTAAAGGAATGATCTTAAAAATGGTTGTTGTTAAATGATTAACAATAAAAAATTCAAACTCTTTTATCTGATAGATTATTATTTTACTCAGTATTCTAATTGTATCAGTACTACATGGCAAATGTTGCAGCTTCTTAGTATTTGGAGAGTACTTAGTACTCTTAGCATATTGTATATTGTATCGTGAACACTAAATATATCCATGAGATATCTTAAAATAAACGTAATAACTGAAACAATAGGATTAACGTGCGATTAGCCGTCTAATGTCCTTAAATCGGCAAGAAGGACGACGGTATGAAAAGGGATTTGTAGAGATTACTGATTTAAAGGTCGGATTTGTGCGGAAATTAATCGTACGTTTGGGCATCCGGAGATTACCTGTATATAACTTATTGGCCGAATATGCGTCTTGGGATTTGCTAATTGCCGGTTCGATTATACTAATGGATAAACGATCCAACCCTTTGCGTTTTTCTTCGGCCTATGAGTGGGAAAATGGTTTATTTTTGTTGATTACAGATCAGAAAAACCATTAAAATTAATTACGCTATCAATTAATAATCATTATTTTGGTTTATTATTCTTCGTGTGTTGGTATTTTCTATAAAAGCCTACTAACAAATTGTACATAATTACATCATTTATAGGCAGACATGAAAAAATTAGTAAAACTTAAGAAATGTCTATTAAAAAAGAAAAAGAAAATATCTATTCATTTATTAATAACTTGAAAATATTCACTAACAATCACTTGTTTTGTAATATCATATATCATGCATAGGCGACTCCCAATTGCAGTCCTTGATCTCTAACACACTCCTTCAAATAGTAAGCTTGCTATTATAAAAACTACATCCTTCTTAAAAAAGCTCTCATATCAAAGGTTCTTCGGAGTTGGGATTCATGAAAACTTGCACGAATTGTAAAATTTTAACTATAAAATAAACCATTTTATTATATTTCTAAATATATCATTTTTTTAATTGGAAAATATTTTCTAACAAAAATCTACTTTTTAACTTTACCGTGACCTGTTAATAAGCCCGCTGTCCTATGCCAATTAACGTAAGACTAAGATCTCAGATAGTGTTCCGTTAAATGCGCACTCAATCAATTTAGCGTTACCGTTCGCGCTACGTTAGGCAAAATATCCCAATTAGTTTTAATAATAGCACCAAGCGTAGAATGTATCAAATTAATAATGTAATAACATAAGAAAATAAAAATGTTTTAGAAAAAGAAATCTGAAAACATCTATATTATTTTTCACTGAAAGCTTGACAATGGTATTAGTCTATTGCGTTTTCTTTTGTTACGATTCAGGATAAGAATGCGCAATTCTTACCATAATTTATTATTATTTATGTGGTGTTTAATGATCGTTAGCCAATGATTATTTGGAGATCGTGAGGTGCGGTCTGGTGTGAAGTAGGTTTAGAAAAACATTTTCTTTATTATGCCAACGTTTCGATCTTTATTGAGGTCATCTTCAGGGCTTTGTGTTGTGCATTTCAACAAAAAAGTTCTCTGATTGATAGCCGATGCAAGTTTCATCTTTCAATAAAAGCAATGAGAAGAAACTTGGCTATCACACCAGACCCCACCTCACGATCTCCAAATAATCATTATTATATATTATTATTAACTGAACTTACGAATTATAAGACGAGCAATAACTTCGTAAGTAAAATATTTAGAATCTCCATACTCAGAGATCATCTGACACCACCAACTATAGGTATAATGTACTTTGTATCAGCATTGCATGGAAATTAATCACCTTTCATGTTTCATGTTTTTCCGCGAAAAATAAAGCAAATAAAATCCCATTTGGTAAACCTCAATTATTAAAACGCCACTGTTCAACAGCCACGCGGTTAAACCCGACCCGTTAAAATTTGATAAGATGCCGTTGGCGAGTAAACATTTGGTGATAATAGGAAGAGAACTCTCTCTTCTTCCTGACGGCCCACTTTATACGTTTAATGTTTTAACCTTGGATTCTTAGAGCATTGCTAATGTCCTGCGGTTAAACTGGGCCGGGACAAAAGCGCGATTGTTCAAAGAGGAACGCATATTCCCCTTTTCCAGAACGGGAAACATGAATTTTTGACAAGGTCCCGACTCGCGGATTTTCTCGGATTTGCGGCGAACCGAGAAATAATCGGAATACCAGTTGAAATTTGTGCCAATTTGAAGAGACGCCGGGGAAAACTTTTAACTCCATTTTAGACCGGGGTTGAATCAATTATCCGCCCGGGCAAATAAACTCCCTGGTTAGATAGAGCGAACGCTTATTATTTCTCTCTCAGGTTTAAAAAAAAAAATCCCAAAAACTGTTTATTGCCAATCAAAGTAATATTTGAAAAAATGAAATGGCTAGTAATTTTTGATTAATTACCTACACCTCATTTATAATTAAATTTAACCGTCTACTAATATTGTATGGCCGAAAAATTTAATTTTAAAATTTCGTCTAAGAGTCGGCGGCGTATTGTTTTCCTGTTAGTGTCGGTCGGACAAAACAGACAAGATTTGTGTCATTATACAGCAATATTTTCTTTGATATAAACAAACAACAAGTTAATTTTTAAAATTAAACATATCATGCTTTCGAAAGACATAATTCTTTCCTTGTAAAGTCCTTGTTTTTCCATAAAAAAATAATTGCCTGTTGAAAATGCCTCCAATCTATTATATAAATAAACCTTTGATTTATATAATTATTTACGCAATTATTAATATGTATTTCGTTATCAAGTCATTAACAACTTATGGAATTCCAATAAGACTTCATTATTTGTTTACGCCAACTATAAATTGTTATGTGCACTATTTTCGACTTACTTGTCGAACTAAACACAAAATTTAATAAATTGGATTTGGATTTGTGTGGGGTCAAATCCGCACATGTACATACATACATACATACAGACATGCCGAGTTGGGCCTATTCGCTTCTTGTAGTCTCGGCAGGCCAGACCCACCCCAGGTGTTGGCAATGCGGGGTCAGACCTGTCTTATCCGTCTAGCCACCAAGGTTGCTCTCCAGGGTGGAGGCTATCAACATCCAGCTCAATTCAGCATTCAACGCACGCAGTTTCAAGCCCATTCATTCTCACGCTCATTCTTAAATACATGCAATCCTATGACATACCATTCAATTAGGGTGATGGAATACTCGATATTCCTCCATAACCCTTTACACATATTATACTAATATAATTGAGAATCGATGGGTTACTCTACATTCCGCCATCGACCCTCTCACATCAAACATCCGTGCTAATAAATTCATTCACTCTCAACACAACCTTTACAAACATTCACTCTCAACCCAACCCTTACAAACCTTATACAATTAACTAGTTGAGCATCGATGGGTTACTCGATATTCCGCCATCGAACCTCTCACATCAAACATTCGCGCTAATAAATTCATTTACTCTCAACACAACCCTTACAAACATCATACAACTAACCTAATTGAGTGTCGATGGTGTACTCGATATTCCGCCATCCACCCTCTCACATCACACTGTCATGGGGTAAGGAAACTCTTCAGTTAGATGGGAGACATCGAGCAATCTTTCTCTGCATACCGGACACATACGAGGGCTTTAGCCCAAAAGTAAGTGTCCGTATTTCAACCTCGCACAGCCTATTCTTAATCGGGTAAGGATGACACTTCTACGAGGCAGATCCTTCGAGGGACACGCATCGACAGTGCCCTTGATACGCGAGAGCTTCTCTGTCGATCTGGCCCATTGACGCTGCCACCTTCTTTTAATCATGTTTTTTATTACATTCTTTGCATTCGCCTTTTCATTACACTCCAGATTCATGTGTCCAGGCCCACCCAGACAACAACCCCGTTTTGCCTAATAAACTGTTTGTTGAACACTTTATTGAACAATTTAGCAATAAATACCTTTAAACTTATTCAAACACAGAAAAATGTGATATTAGAATTTTTTGAAACGTATTACTGTCATTTCAAGACTGAACTTAAGTTTCTTAGTAACTGAACTTCTAGTCTAGATATACTAATTTTTAACCCATTTTTGCTATCTTTCTTAATTATTTAAAATTAGAAGAAATAAGACAAAATATATTCAACATTTGTGTAGTAAGCTAAACATTTTAAAAAATATTTCTAAATATCCAATAATTTTTCAACATGTTAATACTTTTTGAATAAAAGGATTGGATTTAATATTGAATATATTTATTTCAGGTATCCGGCAGGAGCAGGATATATTCGTGAGGTTAATCGACTCCGTCACGAAACAGGTAAGCCGATTTGCCATAAGACTTTATGTAACCATCTCCAGGCCTGGGTGCGCAATCCAAGGCAAATTGCTCTTAATGACGGTCATCTCATGCAGTATTACCAAACTATTACCTGTCCATTAGTTAACGAGACAATCCTAGCAATTTTTTCCTCCCGACTGCCGTTTATAATTGAGAATGTTCCCAGACGCCCGCGCCTGGAGAAAAAGAACTGCTGACTCGAATGTCCGCATCTGTCACATTTGCTAATTGGAAATCTAGGGTTACCCCTCCAGTCGGCATTAAATGCTACCCGATACCCCTAATTCGTAAAATTTAATTTGCCCACCGAATCCGATACGGCCGGGGGAAAAAGAGGGGATGAATAATACCAATTTTCCGATATAATTACTGCAGATTGGCAGTAAACTGAGATAGCTTTTGAACACTTCTGATCTTAAATTTATATAAAGTATATGTGCTGATTTTATCCTAATTATATCCTCCTTTATATTCTCTCTCTCTCTCTCTCTCTCTCTCTCTCTCTCTCTCTCTCTCTCTCANTCGCTCTCTCTCTCTTTCTCCCTCTCTTTCACCCGTTCGTTTTGGCAGTTAGTGGAATCATTCTACCCCAAAAGTCCTCGCATCTATCTGTCCGCCTACCTTCTTCTTTCTCATTGTCTCTCACACTCTCACACCCTCTCTCTCTCTCTCTCTCTCTCCCCCTCCCTCCCTCTCTCCCACCATTCCTCTCTCTTATACACACTCCCTTCACTCTTACACACATACACGCATTAAACCGCCATACTTATATTTTGTGTTTTGAGAAATCAAGAAAGAATCACAGTTCGTTTAAAGATACATAATACAAATGGCTTAATCTTAAAGACAGAAGCTTTTACAGTAACTGAGCTAAAAAAATCACAAATTAAAATATTTGTATAACTTCAATCAACAGCTCTAATCCTCGGCCGCGATCAGTTACCTGGTGAAATTAAAATTAAACCTTCCCTGGAGGAGATAAAGGGGGCTCCGTCTCTCAAAGATCCCCGGGAGCGGTGGGAAACGTCTTGTTAAAGTGTGAAGAAGGAATTAGAGGTGGCTGTGAAAACGGATTAGCAGAGGTGGGAATTAGGCAAGGGGTGAGTTAGTTAGAAGGAGGCAATTCACTTCTAACCTAATCTCTACCTTCTCATTACTCATGTGTGGCTAGGAGAATTTCTCAAATCCACACTCATCCTTCCTTGCGGTTTATTTTATTAGAGCCGTTTAACGATCGTTTTCTTAATATATAATTCATTGCTTAAACAATTCAAAGCGTGAGTCGAGTTAATTTAGGTAAAAGTGCCATGTAACAATCAATAGTGACGAATAATTAATGTTGTGTTGTGTGAAGGAATAAAGCCTTTAGTTAAAATGAAATAATATGTGACCTACTTTTTTTTGTATGTAATTTAACTATAAACTGATAGGTTCAATTAATCTTGTAATGATTTGAAAAAATTTAGAAGAAGAAACAGCATTACACATTTCCAATCAATATTTCACTAATTTTTAATTATATTTTCCACCATATTTTTACTATTACAATGGAATATTTTATAGCCATCTAACTTTACAAACTATTTTTGACATAATTAGTGATCAATATGTACGTTGTAATTTTATATTATAACTGGAGCAGGGATGAGGCCAATTAGTAACAAAACATCTCAGTTTCTTCGTCGAACTTTAGAGGAATAGTATAAATAATTAATTAAACGATAAATGGTGGAGTGAGTGTGTCGTTCAATCTTTTTAAAAAGATAATTCCTTCTCGCAGTAAGTTGTTTTCAACGATACGGATTTTGAACCTACAGCTCATCATCAGGTTGTAGAGCTCCTTCAAGGTTCAAGTGTAACCTAGCTTTGCGCATTTTTAATTTATTTGTGCGATCTAGCACCATTTTTAAGCTAACGATGCTTGAGTTTAATGCTCTGATGGCTACCTGCCTCTCCGACAAAATAGCTATGTCCTTATTTTTGAATCCCCTATTCAAATGAAATTGAGTACGTCTCACAATTGCGTATGGGGGGAGGGATATGTGTAGTTGGTTTTACCATTTAGTACTTTCTTGTGTTCATCAGTTCACCAGCAAATAGTGTTTTTCTTGACAGACTGGTTTTTAAATGAGGATGGATGAGAAATCAAAATTCCGCCATGTTACCCTTTCCCCTACATATTCACGCTAATAAATAACTTCAATCTCATTATATATTTAACACACAAAAGACATCTAGTTAACCGCAGTCCGATCGTATTTGCCATGCTACCTGTTCCTGGTTCGAATACCTGAATAGGCCTTAGTGTTTTAATTTATAATAGTATGAAAATAAAGTATATAAAGAAAGTAATGCAAAGTGATTTGACCCGTCGTCCACGATTCTCAAAGAGAGTTTTGGTTGCTCTTTTCCAAAAGACATCTATGATATATTACGACAAATTCTCGATGTGCCCTACACGATTGAAATTTCGCAGAGGATAGAATGCGCTCGTTTGAGACGAGTTCATCCGGTAAAGCAAATGATTAGTGGCAAAATGACCTCAACCTATTTCCTAACTCCGAATAAATGAGATTCCTAATTTTCTTGGAGGGAAACCACGGGAATCGGATCTGCGTGCCAAATGGGCCCATTTTAGTAAGCAGAACTGGCGCTAAGGGACGAACCGAACGTAGAATTGCTAGAATCAACGCTCATCCTGAAATGTTGCTTAAGACAGTACGTGCTACCCAGTGTAAATCGATAAGTGCTAATGTTGTATGAATGTGTATCAAATCACCTACAGCAGCAACTTGGATGGTGCTGTGGCGTCGTGCCTGTTCACTGCATTCTGCGGCGCTGTTAATTTTTCTACAATTGACCAGTAGGCCACTAGACCGTGACTGTTTCACGTAAGAGCTTCTTTGATTTAATGAACTAATTAAGAGTATATTGATTCTTTAAAAATTCTCCTAGTTATTATATCCTGTGTCGAAATTGGATTTCTGTTTAGACGTATATTACAAGAGGACCACCTTGCACAAATTCAGAAAACGTATTGACAACATTAGTTTCTATGTATAGTTTATTTATTTGTTAATAATATCCTTGCGATTTCTCTGGAGTATCTCGGCCAAAAACCCCATCTTTTTTAAATTGGACATCACCTCCATTGGAAATCGGTACGAAACTATTCGCCAGGAGTAGAGGGATCGGGGAAAAAGAGGAGAGGCGCGGCATAAAGTGTGGAATGACTAAACCCACTTGTTCCCACTCTCTCCTAATGAAACAGTCGGGAGACGTCTGCTCGGCACTAGACCGGTAAAAAGGCCGATAAATTTTAATTGGTTTAATGGAGTGCGTGTACATGCTCTCTCTAGAATTAATGCTCCTAGCCACGGCCAAGGCTCACATCGATCTGCGAACGCATACTACAATAGCGACAGAATGCCGAGATTGTATTGTTGAAGGGAGAAATAAACACCTAAATATTTATTATATATATTTAAAACTGATGAGTTACTATTATTTTTGTTGCTTCTTGTTTGTCGTAAAAGGAAACACGTTTGTACTTTGCTGTCGTAAGTGTTCTGCATGATATTTTCCATAGCGAAACATCAATGATCACATTTCCCTCTCTAGTTAATAATATATTATTTTTTTTAATTGAACTACAATCCGTGCGAGGCAAATTCCCTAAATCATTCCAATAATTATAATCCCTATCACTCTCAGTATCATCACGAGGATCTCGGAAGATCATGGGGCCACGGTTTTGTTAGATATCGAGGATGATTATTGGGAAGAGTTCGGGAAAAGTTGTACGTGAGGATTAGAGTAAGATTGGGAAAATATGCGCGATAATATATATAGGGAACATTTAGGTCGTCAAGGATGATGCGGTTGGAAATATATAACGAGACGTTGATGTTGGATCGAAGGATTCGGAGACTGGATTCTCCGGAGATTGGAAAGTTTGGTTGAACCCAAAGTTCTAAGCCATATGTCCATATTAGTTTCAGTATTGGGATGTATGTAAATACTTTATTGTTAAAGAAGAGTGTAGCTCGGGTGCCTCGTAGTCCTTTACATAATCGTTATGAACAGTTCTTTTATGCCCTTTTAGGTCGGGAATTGTAGGTGAGTCGCTTGTCTGGATAGAGACCAATACAGGAAGAAGACATTTTCCTGTGCAGGGTAAAGGTTGTTTTGGGACTGTGTGGGTTTTAATTTAGACTAGCTATTTTTTAACTATATTTTTTAACAAGGGTTCGCAACAGCAGAGCATATCAACCCTCAGGTGTTTTTGAACGAACGCCATTTGTAAGTATGTCCGGTTTGAATGCAGTGTCGGTGGATTTGAACCCAGGACCTTTGCCTTACAGTGATGAGCGTCGTGTCAACGCCTATACCTTTGCGGCCACGTCGCACAGGCTCTTTGAACCATTATTTAATCGAATATATAGATGTGCCTGGAGGGATAGTTTTGCTACGTGCTCGGGAGTTGGAGCATAGAATAGCATTACCAAATCTTGAAGACCTTTTCTGATGACAGATTCCTCGAGAAAACTTAAACTCCGGACTCTGATGACTAGCATATAACTCTCCCTCAGTTTCTGGTTATGACTCGATCTGGACACAACATCTGAACTCTGTTTCTGACCGATTCCAACTCTTCATCTCAACTCTTTCTCTAACTGACACTGACTCACGGTTTCCGGGTGAGACAGACGCGTCTTATACCCTGCACTAGGTCTCGGTTGTGGTCCGATAATAACGAGTAAACAACGGACTGAGGCCAGTACCCTGACCAGTGCCCACGATAGCAGTTGAACAGTGGAATGGTGACGCCGACATCCAAATTGATGGTCGGGGATTATACTATAAAATTCGATTGAGGAATAGCTTAGACGTGACATAATAAAAATTGCATTGCATTGAATTTCACCATTAAACATAAATATAAGTATATGAGTAATAAGTAAAACGAGCGAGAAAAG